TGTGTAAAGATTTAAAAGGTACAAGACAAGTCCTTGGTGGATTGATAACGAGTTTTTGACGGCTGCCTTTGTGAGGTTTTTAAGATGTTTTTAGGTTAGTCAGCTTGATTTATTAGAGTATTTTATGAGCTTACAACTGGCTTGCTGGATCTCGCAGATGTATTGTTTTTTCTCACCTGGGTTGGATTTCCAGTAATAGCGGTGTTTCCGGCAGTACTCTCGGTTAGACCTAGTAGATGAATGATAAAGATGAGAAGTCTAAATTCAGTGGAAGCTGGAGAAGTGATTGCTTTGAGTCGTTTCATACTGAAGTTCCCTTGTCAACTATGGCATTTCGTTCATCTGAGTTGTTGCAGAAGCGTTGTTTTACTGAACTTTCCGTGTAGTATCTAGAGGCGCTAAGCTTGAATGTATCAGAAGTATTCTCAGGAGTGGTTTCAGCATTTTGTTGTGTATTTTTCATGAAGCTTTCTAAACCATTATTTGATGGTGATTCGTCCAAACTTTCATCAGAAAACTACTTTCCACGGTATTTTTTTTTAGTTAAGAGGGTTGCAAACAAAGTACTACAGGCTCGGCTATAGTTGCTGCCGAGTTAAGATGGACATTATCTCGCCAGCCAATCCAGTTAAGTTATTTCACTACCAGCTGATTCTGAAGTCTCATTGGTGTGTAGCTACTTGACGAATTCTTGTTGGAATAAATAGAGCGAAGAACTGAGCCTAGACATCGTTTGACAGAAATTGTTCGAAATTTTAATTTTCTACTCAAATTCACGTCGACGGTTTTCAGTCATCTGCACTTAATCGCTGTACTCCCGAATTTCCAGGAAGAGACACAAATTACTGACACTGATAACTTTAAAAGAAAAATTATTTCAAACAGTGAAGAACAGAACAGATTTGAAAAATTTTTTTGAAGGAAAAGAGCTTACAGAATAACGCATACTTTGTCTTCCAAAACAACTTCTTTACGAAAACACACCTTGTGGCCTCCCACTTTCAGCTCTTCGACAACGTAGCTAAACTTTTTTTTGGGGGGGTGGAAGTCTCGTATAATATTGCTTTTGAAATAATTTATTAACCTACAAAACTCTAAAAATAATAAAATGAAGTTCCTAAATAATTTTATTAAAACTTCATAGATTTCTCCTGCTCTTAAACCCAAATTTCTTCTGAATTTTAACACATAACATTTACCGTTCACTTGCACGTCACTTTATCAAGGGATGCGTGAGGCAGGTTATTTCTGTAGAAACAAAGCTGAGGAAATAAATAGGAATCTCACCCGTTAAATACTTAATTTGATTGAGATGTTTTGGGAAATCGAGAGAGTTGCTTCTTATTACAAGCAGCACTCCTCCAAAGGCCCAAATGTCACTGTGATGCACAAATAGATCAAGGCTACAAACTCTGAGAATCCAGGAATTTTTCTTCAACGTCCACCGAACTTAGAGAAGGGCTTATTTTTCTAAGCAAAGGTGTTGAGTTATTTGCTGTTCACCTTTCCTTTGGTTCCATACTTACGGTTCAGAATTATACTTGTATTACTAGTTATTGAAACTACTTTGTTCCAATGATTAATTTCAGAAAAGTTTTTGAGCGAAAGGAATGTGGAGTAAATTTAGCCAAAATTGATTTTTTCTTTTTTCTTTTGCTCTTCTTGCATGCCAAAAGAGAACCACTTGTAAAACAGTCTAAAACAGTGCATTGTGGAGTATAATGGATGCTAAAGGTGTCTTTGACAGTCGTAAAAAAATTGCAACTGCAAACTAGATGCACGTATCTAATAGTGACTTAGATGGTAAAACGCAGTAGTAATTTATCCTCTGGTTATGGATTGCGTTTACAGAAAAACATCCAATCACAGTAAATGCTTCAGCTTTTTCTTGTACAACGTATTAAGACTTCAATCCACAAACGCTAAAGCTAAGATGTACAATAAAATAATGAGAAGTTGACTGCAGTGCAAGAATTCCAAAACTTTATTTTAAAATCATTTGACATCCTTCTGACTACCCATACAATATTTTTCGTTTTCTTACCGATAAAAAGCCAGTTTCTACCAAAAAGAAAGAATACAGCCGAAAATGAAAAAGTGAAATGCAGAATTGTGCAAATCATAAATTGATTAAGAAGCTTAAACGGAGATTACAATCACACTTTTTTGCCTTAAAATAGTCCGCTTCTTTGAATTTGTCATCCGTTCCTGTATTAGCCATAGATAAGAAACTGCGTTTGCAAAAAAGGCCCAAAATGCTTGTGCATCCGAGTAAGAGACTTGACTTTTTAATTGGTGTATACCGAACACGGTTTTTAGCCAAATGAGACCTTTGGAGTTCTAGTGGTTTTGTTCAGCAAACAATTACTGTACATCGCTTAGGGAACTCACTACTGTTCCTTGGTTTGTAACGATAAATTAGCATTCAGTCGTGCTACAAGACGCAGTACCAAACCTCGGTTGTTACTGACAAATCCACATGACCTCTTCCAGTTAAGTAAACGGTGCCAGTTTTACTGGTCAAATCCTCGTCGGTTTAATTACCACATATTAACTCAAGAAAAGCATGAGATAAAAATTAAAAATAAGTGGGATTTATTTTCTTAAAAGCTCTTCTATCATTTTTCCGTGTACTATCTACCACAGAACAAGCTTATGGTCTGAAGCTGAACTATCAGCAAAGTTAGTGAGCCTTAATGCCTTTATGATAATGGCTAAAATCGCTCTAAGTAAGTTCTGTATAGCACTTCATTACTTCCATGACTTGAACAATTTCGGATTATTTTCAGAAAGAATCGTAAGACTTTTTTGTGTACACGGTTTAACGGCATGCGTCCTAAATACCAATAAATTTAACATTTAGAGTTCTCCCATGAAAGCAATAAGAACCGAAATCTTACTCAACTGGCGAATAGTCCTGGCATACCTTTACTAGCAGTTTTTTAATTTATTCCTGAAAAGAATCCTGATAATTTAACAATTTTGTGTTGCCTGTTGTCAATGTTACGCTGTAACTGTTCTTCGTATTTTTATGACGAATGTTGTATAGATGGATTTTTTTTTTTTTTTGGAATATAACAAACTTTTAAGAGATTCAGTTGGCATGTAAAAGGTTGAACAGTACAGATTATGGTGAGTGATATTTTAAGTGGTTCAAACGATTCTAGCCAAACGAGTGCTTAATGCTCAAAAATTATCGTTTATTCAGCTGTATTAAGGGGATCAACTACTGGTCAAGAAGTGATAGACTCTTACTGTAAATTTCGGCTTCCAATTTCCAAATAAAAAAGTGCTGTAAAACTGACTGTAAACTAATAGTACCAACAAAAACAACAAAATTTATTCCCACAAAACTTACTGCTGTTGCATACAAACGTCGATCAATGTCTCATCAGTTGCAACTACAAACCAACACTTCTTCAGTTACCGTTGTAATAACTGAAATATTAAGATTTGGCAGTCGGCCAATTCCCAGAGCGAATATCCTCATTATTAATACGAGGATCCAGGGCTCTTCGCTATTCGCAGCATGGGAAACTGACAAATTCTTGATAATAGTACATTCAGTGGCCTCCCAATGAGGGTGATTCAGAATGGCACTGGGGGGACCTGAAGCTGTGTTTCAGGAAAACTCGATCTATTTTCATAACAGGATCGAGCAACTGCGTTACAGACAATCGATCAGTCCATAAACTGAACTGTGTTGGGAAAAAAATGGACCACAGTTAGAAGCCCATGCAGCGTCCAGATCTCCAAGTTATTATTATTATTATTGTTATTATTATTATTACTGCCATTATTACTCTTATCATTACTTCTATTATTACTGGTACTACTAGTGTTGTTGTTGTTTCCGTTATTATCATTATTAGTATAGAGAAGTAAACCGTCAATAAGGGACAAAGTAACCTTCTCCACTGACTCTACCAATCACTCAAAAGTAAAGAGATATACTGCGGCCGTAAGAATTCTTTCAGGTAGCCTAAAGGCCTGAAAAGCATGGAAGAATTTTTCTTTCTGAAATAGAGGCTTCTAAATTTCATCTGAAAACGATGGTTTTCCGGTTTTTGCCAGTCAAATGCTGAACACGCAACGCACCAACACCGTGAGTGAAGTGAGACCCGTCTTTTTCAAGTATTCTTAAACTCATGGTTAGAGACTCGCGCGTAATTTTCATTTTTATTTCACTAAGATGCAGTTGACTAATTGTGGAAGATAAACAAATCTTAACTTATTTACCGGACTTTAGCCAATATACCGTGAATAGTGATCATCTTTTCACCACTTTTTTCGTTCAATTTGCTCTCTAAAACCAGTACCTTTCTTAATTTTTTGCGCTATCACCCTATTTTAAAGAAAAAAAAATGTAATCCGTGGCCGCTTACCAGATCGCTTCTGCCCCAGCAGTCGCTAGTACCTGCTTTTATATTTGCTTCCAACTTTACCAAGCTGACGGTGAACAAAAACTCCGTGTAGGAGAATTTGTTATTTCTGAAAGTAAATAATGGTTTATTCACGTCATTGTTAAAAAAGTGATTTAAAAAGAAAAAACAAGACATTTTCAAGAATGTCTCCAGTTGCTTTTACCATGATAATTTCGGGACCATCTTTAATTTTCAGGCTGTTCAACTATCATTGAAAACACCCACTGTCGCTTGGCATCTCCTTCGCTTAGTTTGGGAATCGCTGCTCTAAACAATCGATTTCTTGTAGTTCATGACTTCTACTTGCAAAAAAAAGCTAACAGAATATATTGATTTTTTCGTTGATAAAGCACTTTGACAATGAGATATCCGTGTAAAAACCTTACCATAGTGACGAAGCCGAATCTTTTCATTGCGACTAGTATGCCCATTGACGTTTAAACAAAAGCGAATTAGCGCACTAAGAGTTATTTACCGTTCTCAACCATCACCATTTTTAGCCTCAAGGACTTGGCCCTGCTTTATCTATTGGTTTTTTTAATTCATTGGCGTGAAACCTTTTTGTCAGCGTCTGCTGGAGCCGGATTCATAGTGTTTTGCATTTGTTATTAATGTGAAATACTTTTTTGAACGGTCTCTTCATCTTTTTTTCATCTGTTGCATGCTGCTTGCTTTGGCTATATTTGCGTTTTTTTTTTTTGATTCTGTTGAACTTCAAGTCATTTTATATCCGCAGCTGCACTATAAAGTATTTTTCAAATTAAAGGACACAGTTTCCGTCTAACGATGTTTGAGTTCAGTTTTTTGCTCCGTTTGTTTTGATAAGGATTCATCGGGTCGCTGCCCACTATTGAGACTTCAGAAGGAGCTGATAGTGAAACAACTTAATTGGGTTGGCTAGCGAGATAAAATGTCAATTTTTAATTGCTGGCTGTGACAGCAACAATTTTAGCTCCGCCCATAGTGCTTTGCTTGCATTCCTCCAAACTGGAAAGGTATCATGAAAGGTAAAGTTGTTTGGTGGAAGTTTGGACGAATTAGTGTCAAATAACGGTTCAGCTAATTTAGCTAGATTAATGGGTGGGTGTTAAGTTAATGTGTTGTTTAAAATCAGTTGGATGTTTGCTTACTTATGTGCTCTTATCTACCGTTGTCTCGTTAAGTTCGATTTTTTATTCTTTTTTCCTCAACTTTTATTTACATTTCAATATGCCTGTACGACTGTAGAATTTCAGCTCAGGACGCCCTTCTCTAATTTTGTAGGGCTATAACAGTGGAGACATTCGTTTAAATACTGCCCATCTTTATTGCTAAGCAAGTTGTTGGTATTGTGAGGTGCTTTTTTTTCTGCATAACAAGCAACTGACTGATGCTTGTAATGCACCGTTTGTTGCTGATATCTCGTCAGATCTGTAAGAACTGTGGATTTGCTCATGATGTTGCAACGTCATCAGCTACGTTTGTTCGGTAGGTTCTTGTCCAGCTAGTTTTTAGTTGATCCTTTTGGACTTAAATATTATAGTTTAACTTAGTTTGATTGCTGTTATTTCTATCCTAAACTTTTTTAACATGCTAATTGTAGTTCATTCTCCTTGAGTACTCGTCATACGTTGGCAGATTCGACGAGGGTGCTCCTGAGTGCTGCTACCAGAGTTTCAACTAGAAAAGAATTTCTTCGCTTTGTAAGTTTCTACTTAATGAGTTTTTGTTCAAGACTTGTTTTCATTTGTATATGGTCTTCTGCTCCTTAATAGGATCTTGTTAAACGTTAGGTGCTCACCAAGTCTGTTTTAAGGTTGGGAGCAAAAGGAAACCAATAAAGCTAAGAAATGCATCCTGGAAAGATCTAAGGAACATTTTTGCTTTAGCTTATCCATACAAAGGAAGAATAATATGTAATTACACCATATTTTATTTTTTTATTTTTTATTTTTTATTTTTTTTTTTTTGTAGTAATTATTTGCTCGCTGCGTTTTGGCTGTACATGTGCAGCTTTCTTCGGACTTGATTCACACGCTTTTAACTTTTATTTTTATTTAGTAGGCTTATCCTTCTTGGGACTCAGCTCGTCTATATTCCTTCTACTGCCCCGGATATTAGGAAAGATGATCGATGAGTTTGATGAAGCTAAAAAGTCAGGGAATGGGAATGAACCAAGCTTAAAGATTGCAAAGTTTTTTAAGGAACATCCTTTATATTTGATTGCAGTTCTTCTCATCGGTGCAAGTGCTGTTTGTGCTCGTTCCTACTGTATGCATACTGCAGGTAAGATGCATTCGTCTTGTTATGATGTATATATATATATATATATATATATATATATATATATACAGTTTCACTTCATTGCTAACTTTTGCTTATCACATCACCAGTATTCTTCTTTGCAATTTTTTGCTTTTGAATTGTTTAAATGGCTTG